ACGTTGTTGGCTCACTTACCTGCAGATCGTGCTAAACAGTTAGCAGAGCTGATTGGTGAATTTCCTTGTTTGTTTTCGGACACGCCAGGGCGCACGCATCTGATTGAACACGATGTGGATGTGGGAGACGCTAAACCAATAAAACAACGGTTTTATAGAGTGAATCTAGAGAAGCGTAAGCATTTGAATGCGGAAGTAGATTACATGCTTCGTACTGGGATTGCAGAACCGAGTATGTCCAGTTGGGCATCTCCGTGTATTTTGGTCCCCAAGCCTGATAACACCCTACGTTTCTGCTCGGATTTTCGCAAGCTTAACGCTGTGACAAAACCAGATTGTTTCCCGCTACCGAGAATGGATGATTGCGTTGACCAGGTGGGTTCTGCTAACTTTGTTAGTAAGTTTGACCTCCTAAAGGGTTACTGGCAGGTGCCTTTGACACAACGCGCACGTGAAGTGTCAGCATTTGTGACTCCTACCGGCTTGTATTCTTACACGGTGATGCCGTTTGGCCTGAGAAATGCGCCAGCGACGTTTCAAAGATTAATGAACAGAGTGGTTGGTGACATGACTGGGTGTGCGGTCTACTTGGACGACGTGGTGGTATACTCTGATACGTGGGAAGAGCACGTAGAGCGAATCCGGGAGCTTTTCACTCGTTTGGCGGGGGCGAGGTTAACAGTCAACCTAGCCAAATGTGAATTTGGAAGGGCGACTGTTACCTATTTAGGTCGTGTGGTTGGCCACGGTGAGGTCCGCCCTGTTGCAGCGAAGGTTCAGGCGGTAGAGCAGTTTCCTGTTCCAGCTACGAAAAGGGAACTAATGCGTTTTCTTGGGCTGGTAGGATACTACAGATGTTTTTGCAGAAACTTTTCATCTGTGGTGGCGCCGCTAACAAATTTGCTGCGCAAGGATATAAAGTTTGAATGGTCTTCTCTTTGTCAGCAGGCTTTCGAGCAGGTGAAAAGACTCCTCTGTGCTGCTCCTGTATTGGCTGCACCACGCTTTAACCGTCCGTTTCAGCTTTACGTGGACGCCAGTCACGTGGGTGCCGGAGCTGTCCTTACACAGACTGATGATCTGGGTATTGGCAGGC